GCCCCCCAGACAGCAGGGCAGACTTCATGTCCTCAGTGAAGTGGTTGATAGCCTGCAGCTTGGGGTTGTTAAAGTCTGGGGCATACATGCCATTCGCCACCAGAATTCCACATACTGCAAAGGAGTGATGAAAGGAGCCCTCACTCCCACAGTAGAGTTTATACTGCTCAGGCCACTGGAGGATGGCCGCAAGGAGCTGGCCCTCGTCGGCCTTCAAATCCAGGTTGTGCATCTCCGCCCAAGTTTTGTGTTGGTCTGAGAAAATTTTAAGATGCATCTCAGGATCGTGATTCACCACCACTGCAGCAGTGTCCTCGACGACAGCCGCTTCTGCAGCATGGGTCGGCATCTGCAGCAGAGAATATTGTTAAACCCAATATGACAATAAACATTGTAAATATTTATGAACTGAGATCTTTCACAGAGGAAGGAAAATGTAATGTAATGTAATGTAATGTAATGTAATGTAATGTAATGTTACAGAGTGGGAGGCTTCTGGGCCACTTTATCACATTGTCAGTTCTAGATCATTTATCACCTTATAGCACCATCCACCACTACCACACTGTACTTCGCCATACGAACTGTAAGTCCAAGGCGGCGGATCCAGCCTTCAGGGACCCCACCTCATCCATTCACCCGAACACCCAAAGAGACGGAGGGTTCGGCAATCGCCACCAATCCAGCGTGCGAATCTAGTCCATCAACTGTGACCTCAACTCCACATCTCAGCAGCTAGCCATAATCTCGTGCTCCCGACTAATTCGGGGGTCTCCCCAGGAATCGAACCCAGGACCTTAAACCGCTAATTGCAGTAGTGTCAACCCAGACCAGACCAGGAAGGAAATGAGAACCCTAAAGTAGGGTCCGCCGCCTAGGTATCTTTAACCACCCGTTGGGACACCACATACCTTCACTTGTTGCTTGCTAAGCTTTGATGATAAGACAGTAAGCCTAGTGGATCTGCGAGTCTCCAATGGAGCTGAGTGGGTACTCTGTCGTCTGATAGGCGAGCGAGGCGACCGGATATTGTCAACAATGGCTTGAAGTCCTAGCTTTGCAAGGAATTCCTTTTGTTTGGCTATACGAATAGCACGCTCCTCATCCAAGCTTAGATTGGAATGCTGAAGAAATTCGGTCCTTGATGAATCCTGGACACTTTCCGGACCTGAGATTTTAGGAAACTGCATATGGATGAATTATATGGATGAAAATAATATGGTTTCGTGAGCTGGCCATCATGCAACATGACTTGCACCATGTGCCGTACCCTAACATATGTGCGTGTACGACAGGCAACCCAGCTCCTGTTCAGGGGCTCGGCTGTCACCCTGGCACCTGTACAAACCCGTGGCTTGCAGCCTGACATGTCCACTTACCTGCTGCAGCCCGCTGCCTGACACCAGCGCCATCCCTGGCTGCAGCAGCTGCATTGCCCCTGGCTGCCCATCCTGTTCCCCTGCTTCGGCGCCTTCGGCAGCCATGGCGGTTTCCACCTCAGCTGTGGCGGCACCCATCTCCGTGTTGGGCTGGATGGGCAGGGCTAGTAATAGGAACCAAAGGGGATAACTGAGTTGTGTTCAGCCCACAAAGATTAGCTGGGAACAAGGCGCTAACTTCAGACAACACAAGATCGCCCGATAACTGTGCAAGCAAGCACAAGTCAGAACGTCGTTTGTTGGGGAATAGGGACGTCAAAAGTAACAATATACAATACATTTGGACCCAGTTTAATAAGGAAGGAAATCAGAGAACACAGCGTTACTGGCACATTGGGTGTCAGTAACAGTGAAGAGATGGCCGAGCGGGATGAAGTGCACGGTGGAGTCGGAGGAGGTCCGGAGGAGAACGAAGTAATGGCTATGATGAAGGCGATAAGAATGGCACGCGACGAAAACACCCAGAAGGGGACGATGCGGTGATCAACGGACTCCGCACCTTATCCCACGTTGTCTGAAAGCAGGCGCAGCCAGCTGCAACTAGGCCTACCCAGTTGTGTGTAAGAGGGAAAGGGGTGTCCCTAAACCGGCCGCAAAGGGTTGGCAACTACGCATGTTTTGCTGGGGAATGGGGTGATCCGGCTACGAGGGGACGGCACCGCGGCGGAGAGGTCATTGCTTTGAGGTCTTAGCTCAGCATGGTTTATTACCACCGCGGGTTACTGCCAGGTGACCAGCTGGAGCCCACCGAAGCGCCCGGACCGCCTTGCGCTCATCGGGTAGCAACTAGACTCTGGAAGTCTGCCCAATAACGAGTGCCCACGGCTGATAGGCTTTACCCGGGTGATGCTCTCAGGGAGAGAAGCGTCCGGGTTGCGTTGTGCTGCTCCGAAAGGCCCCAGGGGGTGCATGGTGAAGCACCCAGGCTGAGTTGCCTTAGGCCGGTAGACTGGGTCGCGTTTATCCGGAAGGCCAGCCCCAGGGGGTATGCTCTCCCGCGGCGAAGCACCCAGGCTGAGTTGCCTTAGGCCAGTAGACTGGGTCGCGTTTATCTGGAAGGCCAGCCCCAGGGGGTATGCTCTCGCGCAGTGAAGCACTGAGGCAGAGTTGCTTTAGGCCGGTAGACTGGGTCGTGTTTATCCGGAAGGCCAGCCCCAGGGGGTATGCTCTCCCGCGGCGAAGCACCCAGGCTGAGTTGCCTTAGGCCGGTAGACTGGGTCGCGTTTATCTGGAAGGCCAGCCCCAGGGGGTATGCTCTCGCGCAGTGAAGCACTGAGGCAGAGTTGCTTTAGGCCGGTAGACTGGGTCGTGTTTATCCACAAGGCCAGCACCAGCAAGGTTTTGCTCTCGTGCAGTGAAGCACCCAGGCGGAGCTGCCTTGGGCCGGTAGTTTGCGTTGCGTTTATCCACAAGGCCAGCACAAGCAGGTTTTGCTCTCGGACAGCGAAGCACCCAGGCGGAGCTGCCTTGGGCAGGTAGGTTGTGTTGGGTTTATCCGCAAGGCCAGCCCCAGCAGGTTTGCGCTCGGGCAGCGAGGCACCCAGGCGGAGCTGCATTGAGTCACTAGGTTGCGTCGTGTTTATCCGGAAGGCCAGCCCCAGGGGGTATGCTCTCGTGCGGTGAAGCACCCAGGCTGAGTGCCTGGCC